CAACATGTATAACCAACAAGGAAAGAACATATCGAATATTACAATTTCTGAAACATGGGTATTCTCTGAAATTCAAAGCAATACCCACAACCACAAATAGGTTCTCAAAATCCCAGAAAACCATCAAAATCTTCAATCACGACAAAGAATAATTAATCAAATATTACAATTTCTGAAACATGGGTATTCTCTGATTCTGCATGCAGTTTTAATGATTGTTTTAGTAAAGACCTAAAGATATGTTATGGCGTTGACGGAAGAGAAATGGACGCCTTCATAGTTAGAAAGAAACCCAGAAACAATCACACTGAAAATAAGCACACCGTGTGAAATTCACAATTCAATAAACCCAGAATCGGTAAGCAGAAGCAAAAGCCCAGATATGAGAGTATGAGACCAACCTTTTGCAGTCGAGACTTGAAACGGCAAGAAAAAGCTCACAGCGAGATCAAAGACTGGCGGCAAGGGCAAGGTGTGAAAGATTGAGAGTGAGAAAGGTTCACCGATCGCGAACTCGCGGATCGCCTGGGATTTAAGATTGAGAGAGACAGAGAGTTTGAGAGAGACAGAGAGTGATTGAAGTTGAAGACCGAAAGAGAGAGAGAGAGAAGAGGCTAACCTTTTGCTGTCGAGACTTGAAACGGCAAGAAAAATCTGACAGCGAGATGAGAGAGAGACTGACGATGAGGGTGAGGTGTGAGAGATTAAAAGTGAAAAGGGTTGCGCCGTCGCAGGTCGCCTGAGAGATTGAGAGAGATAGAGTGAGAGAGAGAGAGGAGGCTCAGGCTGTGTGAGAGGGTTACTACTAGGTTTAGGCCCTAGGGTTCATGAAAGAACTCTGAACTGAAGGCAGGGAACGAGAGAAAAGAGGCCAAGGGAATGAAAAATAAGGAGGAGGGTTACACCGTTACAGGGTTTTGTTAATTTCCTCATAAAAATTAAAAAAAATCTCAGAAATCCTGGAGGCATGAGGGTTCGAACCCATGCCTCCAGCTTATAAAGTTTCAATAAAACCAACTTGGCAACAAGTTCTGTTTTGTTATGATTGTATGACTAAACTATTTATAAATATTAAAAATATATATATCGGTTTGGTTCGGTTCGGTTTCCGAACCTCAAAAACCGAAATCGAACTAGCCAGATTCGGTTCGGTTCGGTTTGACAATTTCGATTCGGTTTTTTTGCGATTCAATTTTTTTCGACCTCGGTCTGGTTCGGTTGTCGGTTTTTTTCTGTTTTCGATTTTTTGAACCCACCCCTATGCTGGAGACTTGGCTGCAGGAGGTGAAGGACTGGGCCCAGTGTCGTGGGGCATGGACGGGCCTGCAGAAATGGGAGAGCCCACGGGGTTAATAGTGGCAGGAACGGGCAGTGGGTTACTTGGCGAGGGAGCAACGACGGGATGAATGTCGAGCTCCATATATGCATTTGGGTGCTAGCCGAAAGGAGTGGCAAAGAGGAAAGCTTATTCATTGAACACTACATGACGAGAAATATAGACACGACCAGTGGCACGATCAAGGCACCTGTAACCTTTATGAGAAACACTGTAACCCACAAAAATACACTCAATAGAACGTGGCATTAGTTTATCATGAACATAAAGCCCAAGGTATAGAAAACATATACATCCAAAGGTACGCAAGTGGGAGTAGATGGGTGGGCGACCAAAGAGAAGAGTGTAGGGAGTGGACCATTGAATGGTAGATGTGGGAAGAAGATTGATGAGGTGGACAGAGGTAAGCGCGGCTTTAACCCACAAGGTGAGCGGGGTAGAAGTTGCGGCAAGCAGTGTGTGAGTCATATCAGCAATATGACGATGCTTGCACTCAGCAAATCCATTTTGTTAAGGTGTGTGTGGGCAAGAAAGATGGTGTTGGATACCTAATTGGCGAAGAAAAATAGAGAATGAGTGATTAACATACTCAGTGCCACCATCACTTTGAAAATATTTGATGGAAACATTAAACAGGTTGTGAGCCATTGCAACAAATGTTTGAAAATGGGTAAAAACTTCAGACTTATTTTTCATGGGATATATCCAAGAATAGCGAGAATAATCGTCAGTGAACAAGACATAGTAACGAAAACCAGAAGTGGAGGTAGTAGTGGACATCCAAACATTAGAACGTATAATAAAAATAGGATGAGTAGTCCTTGTATTATTCAATGGAAAAGGAAGTTGTGTGGACTTGCCTAAAGCACAACTTGTACAAAAATACTTAGAAGAAAGCGACTTAGAACCTAAACTAGAGCTAAGACGAGACAAAACCGAGGACGAAGGATGACTGAGACGTTGGTGCCAGAGTATGAAGGATGATGCAGCAAGGGCTTGGGGTGATGGAAGCGACAATGGATAACGATCATCTATACATGGGCCCTAAAACAATAAGGAACCGGTGCGTAAATCATAAATACGATAGAAGAAAGGAAAGAAACAAATAGCAACATTGTTGTCATATGTAAAACGAGCAACAGACAAAAGGTATCTACGGAGAGACGGAACAAGAAAAACATGACGAAGAGTAAACAGAATAGAGTTGAGAGAAATAGGAATAGTACCAGTGGATGTAATGTTAAGAGAATCACCATTACCCAATTGAACGGAATTAGGACCACGATGAGGTTGAGGATGGATAAGAGCTTTGGGATCGCCCGTCATGTGGTGGGTAGCACCGGTGTCGGGAAACCAAGTATTGGGATCCTGGTAGTAAGCCACCTGAGAGCCTGCAAAAGGAAGAAAGGAATCTGGGCCTCCATAGCGGTGTGGACAGTGGGTAACACTGTGCTGCGAGGTGGAGCAAGTAGGGCACCACGAGCCGGGGCCCAATAAGCCTGAGGTGAGACGACTAGAGAAGGCACGTGGGCCGGGTTAATGGTGTTGAGCAGTCTGCCCAGGCCAGGATTGCTGAGAATGAGGAGGGGGTCCATTCTAAGGTTGGGAATTGCGGGATTGCTGATTGCGGCCAGGACGCCAGCCAAGTTGCTGACCACCAGAGTTGCGTTGGGAGCGATTAGTCTAAGTGCCACTACGAGCACCAGAAGGCTGAGATGAAGCACGAGGTTGCTGGGTTGTGATGAGTGCAGTTTGGGTAGCGGTAGAAGTTGGGGAAGGGAGAGAGTTTTGAAGATCAAAGGCTTCAATTTTGGAGTGCAGCTTTTCAAAGGTAGGAAGATGAGTGACGTTGATGATGGCAGTGGTGAGGGTAAGGTAGTCAGAACCAAGGCCACGAAGAATGGCAATGATGAAGTCCTCGGGGTCGACGGGACGACCAATGGTTGCAAGTTTGTCAGTGAGGGATTTGGCATGTTGGAGGTATTCATTAACAGGCTTAGAACATTTGGAGAGATCAAGAAGTTGATAACGCAGGGTAGCGGAGTTGGTGACAGAGCCGTGAGTAAAGCGTCTTTGGAGACATGCCCAGACAGCATAAACTGAGTCATGGCCAACGGTGAGAGCAAGAACAGGCTTTGTCAAGGTGACGGTGATGTAGCTGACGAACAATTGATCTTGTTGGTACTATTGGGCGAAAATAGGGTTGGGAGTGGTGGAAGCAGTGACAGCCGAGGAGCTGTTGGATTCAGATGCAATAGTGGGATGATGGACAGTGACAGTAAGGGTAGCCGCCGGGGGTGGGTAGGAGCCATCAACAAATTTCCATAAGTCATGGCCAATGAGAAAGGGCTTGATTTGGAGAAGCCAGGTGAGATAGTTAGAATCATTGAGTTTGAGAAATTGCGCCACAGCAAGGCCGGGAAGCGAGGAGGAAGAGGACATGAAGAAAAGCAGGATCGAAGAGGGTGGTTAAGCCAGGCAAAAGGATGATACCATGTAGAAATATATAATAAGAGGAAGAACACAGTAATTATAGAATAATAATATTGATGGAAGTTATGTTTTTCCACTGCTCATAATCAGGTATAAATATACAAGATATGCTGACGTTATAGAGAGTCCTACAAGGACTGTATAACATCTAATACAAGTCTTATCATGATTACAAAATGTAAAGATAATCATGCAGCCTATAACTAAGTTGAAGTCAGAGAAGACTCTGTATTAACAAGGTTTTTTAACACCGTGTTACTTTTCAAGAAATTCAATGCCGTATCTACATATGGTATAATGGCAACAACTATCATTCATGAAATTTGGACTTACCATATTGCCTAACAAAGCTCATAATATGTATTGTGAAACAAAATAGTCATCAAAGGTAAAGAATTTGGAAAGCTAAATAAATGAATTCAATTTCATTGACTAATCAACTTAAAAGGTGTCGCTAGAAACATCTAGCATTTAGTATAGGGAATTGTTATTGGCACTCCAAACTTTCTATATTTAGAAAGAAAAATATACCTGTGAGGAGTGTATAATAAAATTTTTAGAGTGCCAATAATAATTCCCTTTAATATAATAGTATTTCTCTCTCTAATATTTAAAAGATTTTGAGTTTGAATTTTGTCAATCAAGTTCAAATTTCATTTTCATCTTTAATCTAAAAACAAAGTGCCCCAAGAAACATGGGCCTTAGAGCAATGAGGCTTTGATATGCCTTATTGGGTAGATGAGTTTGGTCTCAATGACAATGTGAGGTCAGGCCCACAGAATGATTTTTGGAGTTAAAGTGGACCTAGTGACAATTTAGACATTTGCTGTAGTGGAAGAGGACTTACGTAGAAGGTATACAATTACCACCACGTGTCGTGCGAATCATACAAGTGTAAGTTTTTCTCCATATAACGTTTGTGATTAGGACGGGCGTCACATTGGCGGTGTATGGCATTCATCACTTTTGCATGACTTGCCTACTACTAACCATAGCTCAAGCTAAAAATCATTTCCTTCATGGCATAGGATGGCTTACCTAAACATTTCTTAGTGAGAAATCCTAATGCACATCCCATGTATGTTTACAATGTCAACATTTATACGTTCCTTATAAAACCTAGTGGCCTGGAATGCAACTGGACTAAAACACTGCTAAATTTGAATAGAGATGGATTGAAAACTCGAATCTAAAGGCAAAGTTTGCATTACGGAGGCTTCTGGATTTCTGGCATCCTTGCTTATAAAGCGGCTTCTCTTGTCCGACTATCATGTAACGGGGACTGTAAGAGATCCAGGTAGGTACCGTAACCCCCAAGTCAAGCTACTTGAAGTAGCATTGGATTCATTTTTTCAACACAAAACTTATGCGGTTTTCTCCATGAGTTCAAAGGAAACGAGAAGAAATTGGTGCATTTGTGGAGGGTAGAAGGAGCTAAGGAAAGACTAAGATTGGTGAAGGCAGATTTGATGGAAGAAGGCAACTTTGATGATGCAATTTTTGGGTGCCATGGCGTTTTCCACTCTGCTTTCCCTGTTTTAAAACCTTCGTCTGATCCCAAGGCACGTTGCATGTTTAACTTTTTCTCGTCAAATATATAACATGTTATGTTGTCACACCATCAATATAGATCATACATTTAAACAAAGTTTCGGCATACTAATAGCTGAGATTGATAGTCTAACACAAAGCATGCGGGACAAGAGAACGTTTTGCCTAAAATTAATAGTCTTCTACAAGAGTATTGCCCTTAACTCATGTCATGCATACACAGACAGAAATCCTGGAACCGCCTGCTGAGGGCACATTGAACATGTTGCGTTCGTGGAAGAAAAATTCGTCTCTAAGGCGTGTGGTTCTCACCTCATCTTCTGCAGCTGTAAGGGTGAGACCAGATGGGGATTTCACCTTCAATGTACCACTGGATGAGTCATCTTGGAGCTTGGTCGAACTCTGGGTGACTCTTCAGGTCTAGGTAACAATACTCTCCCTCTGTCCTCGTTAAGGTTTTTGCGTTGGTATAGATTGTTTGCTAACTGTAGTGTGTAGTCTAACCAATACAGATTTGTTCGGCGAATTCAGCATAACTTTGAATGCATCCCTTCTCATATATACTAATACCTAGCTGCAAAGCAAAGCAATGCCGAATTTTATTGATCTGTGCTATTACATTTCTTAAGCTCAATGTTTTCTTTTTCCATGTGCATTATATATAATCCGTCCAAACCGTTTAACTGACAAATTATGCATCTGCACCTATTTCACTAGATTTGGTACCCTATGTCGAAAATTTCAGTTAATAAAGCAGGATGGGATTTCTGCAAAGAAAATGGGATTGATATGGTTACTGTCCTGCGCTTCTTCGTGAACGGGCCTTGTTTGCCACCTGAGTTGTGTTCTACTGCATCAGATGTTCTTGGCCTGCTTAGAGGTACTACTACTACTACTACAGATTTATCTTCATGATTTTTCGCACTAGTTCTTCGTTTACTTAACTTCGATTTTAAGCACATTGCATGGTTATTTGTTTGAACAATCAAGCAGGGGAAACAGAGAAATTTAAGTGGCATGGAAGGATGGGATACGTTCACATTGATGATGTTACACTCTGTCACATCTTAGTTTATGAGCATGAAAGTGCTCATGGCAGATATGTTTATAGCTCAACAGTTATGGACAACACTGAGTTGGGTTCCTTATTATCTACAAGATATCCTTCCTTGCCTATCCCCACAAGGTTTGATATTTTTACAAGCTACAATTAATTAAGCATAATTTATCAGTTCCTGCTATGGGCCGATCCATTTTTTATGCTCCTAATTCCCTAAAAAAAAAAAAAAAAGCGGCATACGCTATGCGCCTCAGTTATATCAATAACTTTTAATCAAATTTTACATGAGAATTTTTAGGTTTGAGCAACTAGGGAGGCCACATTATTATGAGTTGAACACCTCAAAGATGGAGAGTCTAGGGTTCAAGTTCAAGAGTATCCAAGAGATGTTTGATGATTGCATTGCCTCTTTGGTGGAGCAAGGCCATCTTCCTGCATTGTAGTTAATTTATGCTCTGTGATTCTTTTGCCATATTGGCAAAGGCTGAATAAATTAATTAAGAACTTAACTAAATGTACCACCTAATCAACGGTTTGGATTCACACTATAACTACGTAGAATGTTTGGGCAAAAAATACTTCCTTTTTTTTTTTTTTTTTTTGGCAATACAAGCGATACTAAAAAAAAGGAGGGATTTAAACTCAAAACCTCATACAAGCGATACTAAGGAATACCACTCTGTCTGGTGTGTACAGCTGTTTGTTAATGCAGGGTCATTTTCAACCTTCAAAATAGTGCAAGCTAGGAAAAAGGCCACAAAAGGCCCAATAAAAGTTAAAGCCCAAAGAAGAATAAGAAGCCCAAGGCTCAACAAAATTAAGGAGGGGGATCCCTCACTAGCGTAGTCCGACTGACCAACATAAAGTACTTTCCGACCCCCAGGACATGTGGGATGACCGACAACTTTATGGTACAAATCTTTAGGAGCAGACCGTAGACTTACTTAAGCACCACTCAGAGCACATGTCAAAAGTCTACGACGAGACGTAAAGGTGGTTAGGTTGCTGCTTGGAGTGACATGGTTGACTAATCAAGACCGAGTAGGTTGCTTGACACACATTGATGAAGGGTGTGCAATTTCGATTGAGCAAGTGTCTTTTCACTGCTGAATATCGACTGCTGGTCAAAAAGTTTTTTAGCACGCTAGCTGATGTAGGTGTCACATTAAATGCTAGAAAAATAAGACTAGGTGTGCCCAAGGCTTTATGAGTTCATGGAGGGCCTATATAAAGGGGTCGGAATCTCTTGTAAGGGGGTCAAACAACTTAAGGGAGATAGAATTCTAGTATTTAGCCGAGCGTTATTTGTAAACTTTGAAATCAATATAATCTGAGCAACACAGGGGATGTAGTCCTGTTTTGGGGTGAACCACTTAAATCCTGAGTCCATTTCATTTTAGATTCAATTCCAAGCCTACCAAGGGCTAATTATTCTACTTTTTGAGCTTTAACAAAGTGTCAAATGGACATCACGATTTCAAGTTGGAGTATGTGTGTTTGAATCGTACTTGAGTTGGCCCACTTAGTAAACAGGTTGGGTTGACTTGTTGGGCATAATCTCGACCTAGCACTTGTTATAAGCTAGGGCCACTTTTAAATGAATTGGGCTGATGATGCCTTAATTTAATGAGTTGATGTTGGCCTATTCGTTTGACACCTTTAAATGTATATGTTCTCACACCACAATTCTGAGCATGATTGAATACATAAAGATTCAACAACATAACATGCTTGAATATTTGACATGAGAAATCAATCTCTGTCTACATATTTACTAATCATGAACTCGCAATTAACTAATAAAAGGCTTCGGTACTACCCCGGTACCGAACCGTGCCCAGGCCCATAAACTCAATTACTACTGAGAGCGAGAGGGAGGGGAAATATTTCCTTGAGATTGTTTGTTGCAGGAGTTGGAATGGACCCTCCCACCCCAACCCTAGCGGGTGGTGGATGAGGCCCCTTACAGCCACCACAAAAACCATGGTAGCTCTCCCGACCGACATTACGACACGAGTCCACGTGATCCTTGGGTGCTCATACGGCTGCAAATGCTGCCACGTGTCTCGTCGCTGCCCCACGTGACATGGACCTTCCGTTCCAGGAGTAATTTTTCGGTGTACCCGGCACACCAAATTTTTTTGGTGTACCCTCACTCATAATGGTGAGGGTACACCAAAAAAATTTGGTGCATCCTCACTTTTTGTACACCAAAAAAATTCTAATGAGTGAAGGTACACCAAAAAAATTTGGTGTACCCGGTACACCTAAAAATTTTCCCCGTTCCAGGCACACTACACTACATTACATGAAGTTTTGCTGTTGTTGTTTCATCTTCGCGACGAAGCAGATTGGAAAACTTGTGGAAAGTTGGCTTAAAAAACATCAAACGTGGTCGGCTCGATGATAATTTGACGTATCTATCGCGTTATGCTATTAATTAATTTATTATAATATGTGGATAGTAATTTCATATTTTTATAAACAAACACGTATTTTATAGCATGGTTAAATTTGTAATGCAACGTAAAAGTAGTTGTGGTCACATTAAAAATATCTCGATAAATCAAACGAAACCTTCTTCTAAATCCTGCATTCACCAATAGCCACAACATGAGTTGCTAGACTTATAGATTTCAAACAACCGAGATATCAACAATGTCAAACATGAACTCATATCGGAATCTAATTTTTATTTGGTATATACAATTATTTGAATTTCGTTGTTAATTTATAAATTTTTTAATTTAATAAAACTTGAGGAACATAAGAAGTTCACTCTAAAAAGTAATCATGCACTAATTTTTAGGATGGACACGAAGGAGTACACTAAATTAATCTAAATTGCAAATGTAAAGGAAAAAACACACTGTTCTAATCAACTTAATAAGAAACTTTATTTTTGTAATTTCTTTGACACTTGATTGGATGTGAATTCAATGTATTAATTCCTAAGCTATATATCCCTAGTCATTAGTCAATTCCTTGACAAACAATAAGTCTAGACAACACCAATTTGGATGGAAATTTGTAATCAAACTAATTAATATAGCTGCAATGACTTATTAGTTCCAAGTCACATTGAGCCGAGTTTGTGGGTAAGGAATTATATGACAGAAAAATAAATGAAATGAGAGATATTATTTCATGTAATCGACCATACTGTTATCTTTATATTTCTCATCATCAGAGCCGACTTTGAGGGGTGCAAATGGTGCCATTGCACAGGGCCCCCAAATTGGAAAGGCCTTGGATTTTTCAATTTTGCATGCATATACGTAAATATAGTAGTATGTGTCTTAGCGCAAGTGGTATTATTGCTTATTTACATCAGCCTACGGGATGGGTTCGAAACTTGTGTCCATCTTTTTTTTTACTGATTATTTTTATTAAATGCATAAGCTTCCACAAAATAATATAAAAATTTCACACAATAACATGAAAATTCGAACACTGACCCTCTAGGAAAAACAATAAGCCACCTATCCACTTGTTGATTTGTTAAATTTGTTTGTGCTATTAGAATTTACAGAAGCTCAATTGAAAACTAACGTTTTTTTTTTTTTGAACAAAAAAATTAACTTAGTACTTTGTAGGACCTCCAATTTTCGCGCATGGTTCCTGAAATCTCAAGGCCGGCCTTGCTTATCATGTGATCCGCTCACGTTATAATACATTAAGAAAAGAGAGATATCCCATTACATCCAATTTTTTTTGTTCCTAAAACGGTTTTATATCCCCATGTTGTATCTCACTCTTAATATGAGATATAAATCATGTGAAGAGTTGAGATGTGCGCGTACAAAAATGTTATTCTCTTATGGAAAACAATATGCTCGCTTTCTTTTTCCTTACGCTCATTTTCTTTTCTAGTAGTTAGATTTAATAAATTCAAAAAAGAAATTAAGAGACAAAACAAAGAAATAAGTGCAGAAAAAGAAAACGTCAGTGCTAAAATGATTTACTTTTTCTCCTCATCCGAGTCAACGTGTGGACTCGAATACGTGTATTTGTGGGTGCGTGGAAGCTTGCAAGCCCGTATTTTATACCGTGGTCCTTGGCTAGTTGGCGTAGCAAGCATTCTACGATGCCACACATTTTGTACACGAGCAAGCAAGACCACAAACAAATTTATAAAAATGATGGCGAAATATGTATATCCTCGGAGTATTATCTACACATTCTTTTTTATCTTCTACACGCCTTTTTCAGTGTTCGGTTGTATGATCAAATAATTAAAAAAATATCAAAAGATATAAATTAACAGAAAGTGTGTAAAAAGTAAAAAAAAAAATGTATGGATAACACTATCCTATCCTCAACTATATATAATACCTCAAAATTGGTCTTTTCTGGCCCCATATTTCTTCACCTCTCATCTAGCCTGTTCCCATCTGCATTTATCATTGAGGTCTCCGCGCATTTATAGTCTTTTACCCCCACAAGGAAGGCAAATCAAATGTGACAAATCAACTTACATGTAGAAAAATGATTGGATAAATGGGAAAAAACCTATGGTCTCTACACAGTCGTACACATATCCAAACTGTTCATATTGTGACAAAGTATTGTTAATCCACATGTTACGATATAACTGATATTTTATGGAAAGATTATATTATTAATAAACAAGAAAGTGATTTCTGAACGCCTTTGTTATTCTCATACACAATCATGTTTATTTTTGACATTTTAAAAAGAATAATGAAGGATCATAAATTTCAAAGATTAGAAACAAACAAAGGTGCATTAACAGAGAAAAATGGTTTCCCCTAAAACGTACGTGTGTTATGAAACTACTGAATTGGTAATACTAAGTAGAGGTGCGAATATTAATGATTAAATAATATAAGTGAAGTAATAATATCACGTGACGGTGTAAGTGTTGGATAATAAAAAACAAAAGTTGTAATGAAAAGCAGCTTTCCAAGATCTCACCATATGCATGTTTGATACGGTTTGGCAAATTTGGGGGTCAGGTCATACTGATTGAGCGATAGCCTCGGGACAAGAGCTTTATCTTCCTCTCTGTCCCTTTTCCTATCTTTGCGGCAATGCACCAGCCCCATATCTAGAAAAAAAAAATCTACCACAAGTACGAACCTTTTTAGTTTTTACACTATATCTGATACCGTACGGTAGAGACGATCGCAGAGGAACAGATCATGTAATTCATCAGGACTGGTGGTTCTTATGAAATCTGCCATTTTTGTTGATTTGTTGGAACTGGGCACGGCTGCCTTCATTGCTGTCAAAGCTCGGTGAAAACTTTCTATTCTGAGACATCAAACTCGATTTTCGAGCAGGTCCTTCCATGCAAAGTTTCCTTTTTCAGTTAATTTCTTTGCCTGCTAATCTCTAGTACTTTGAATTATGGTAATTGATGAATGATGAGTGATGTTCGATTGTTTTCCAATTCATTCTTCACTTGAAAAATAGCAAGTTCTTGATGAACTTTGGTTGCGGATTACTTTGCTAAAGTTTGAAC